CCCCACATCTATATCTTTGTTCTCCATGAGGCTAACACTATCAAGTCTCCTCCCTCTTCCTCTTCATGAACGCCATTTCGTCCGCCATTCAACAGGGTCTGACCGCTCTGTCCACCGATCCCCTGCTGATCTGGAACTACGGTTTCGTGGCGGTATTGGCCTTTGTTGGCGGCAACTTGTTCTTCCTCTGCAATATGAAGTTGGATAAGGAGGAAGATGACCTTAACAACATTGAGGAGTCGACCTACCTGGGTCGGAACCAGGGCGAGGGGGGTAAGGCCGAGCCGGGGGTATGATTGGGTGTCGTATGAGTAATGGAAGTATATATTTAATATAATCTATGAGCTATGTTGGTTTGAATAATTGAGATCATGGTGAACATACTACGTGCATTACACTGCATAATATTTCAGGATATAACAACAATGATCGGACTGTCTAAACATGACAGACGAGTGAAAGCATTCTACGCTCTAAGGACCCGAAATAGAACAAATCCAGTGTATGCAGGCAAGATCTAGCCTTGTGAAAGTTGCTATCCTTTGATGCAACCTCAGACCTTTCTGTGAGAAAGGATCATGGTTTCTCCGCACCTATTTACTTCTCTTCACTCGAGGTATAATCAGCAATTGGTCGAACTGCATTCTGATTTCGCACTTACGCCGCCAAGGACGCTCAGCTTCCAAAGACCCCCGGCCCGGATCATCACGCAAACAGGTTCTGTATCACCAGAGACTGGGCAATTACAGCAGCTGCCTATTTCATCCCGGCGGGAACTCGTTTGCGCCCCCATCCTCCAACGGCGCGGCAGGGATGCCGGTACCCCCACATCGCATAGCATTTTTCGCAAACAAGGGCGATTGAGATCACTGCTATCGGCTCATCCGGGCACTGGCGACCCTTGAGACATCTCCGTGCACATGCCGGATTCTGCTCCCTGTGTTGATATCTCGGACTGTCTGCAGCTTTCCGACGGCCGAAAGTCCACGGTATGTCGCACCGCAAATGACTAGTTCATATATACTGAGAGTTTGTTGATGAGCGTCCGGATATCCACCGGCACTTCATCACTACCACGGACTGAAAACATTAGCCACGACAGAGCCGAGTCAGTCACCCACTGAACCAAGCATACGACGTCCTTCATCTGAACCGAAAGCGTCGCACAGATCAAACGGCTGCCGGACGTCTGGACCCCGCATCACACTGCCATCGTGTCACCCAAGATCCCTGCAGCCGATCCTTGAACGTCTTTGCGCCACGGGCTCCCCCGTTGACCAGAACACTCTGCGAAGATCGAGTGTGGTGGATACCACACCACCGATGGTATCCTTTGCCATCATACTCTTAGCCGCGTCTCGCAGCGTCAGGAGTGGGCGGCCGAGGAACTACGCCCCAACCCCTCATCCAGGAGGCCAATCCGCGGATCTATTCACGATACTCCAGCGATGTCGCGCAGCATGGTACTGGATCCCGGCCAGGGAAATTGTCTAGAGCTAGCTCGATAAATGTATAGATCGAGCCCCTCCGCCAGTAAACCCCCCCCCCTCATGTTACGCCCCTCCCGAAACGGCCCGACCCTATTGCTTGTACGAGCCAAGTTTGTGTCGATATGTATGACATGACCATCCCTACGGTACTGCGGTTCTGACCAATATGGGGCAAGAGGATACTGAAAGTGAATCTTAAAGCTGACTAATGAGATATCTTCTACCCCGTTGCTGGAAATGAGGGATCTGAGCATGTGAAGATGGTATGTCAGCAGGTGGAGGAGGAAGTATAAAAGGATGCTCCCCCACAGACAAGGCCACCCCACGGAGCATATTTACACTACGGAGTAAATCCTACGGCACCACACTTCCAAAGCACGCAACCTGGGTATCCGGCCACTCACGGTCCCCCAACAAATACGAGGATGAGCGGTGTAGATCCATGATCGGCACGGCAATAGCCAATAGTACGGGGCGGCATGCAGCCTTATTGCAGATTCTTTGTCTACACGTCAGATAATTAGGGATCGATGTGGCTGGGCGGGTGGCCTAACGTTGAGGTCAGCCCGTGGCTTGGCTGTAGCCGAATCAGTGGGATGCTTAGTGGTTTGGTTGAATAACGTAGTAGTATGGTGTAATGTAGAACTGGGTATCCTAGTTAGATCTCAATGCTCAAACAGATAACAAGGATAAGAATTTTAAACGCTAACTCCGCCGAGGGGAAGGCCGGCCGGTTTGGAACTGGCCCTGGTCGCGGGTGCAGGGATCTAGCTGAGCGGCATAATACGAAGATCCGGTTCGTGCTGTACACTGGCTCGGATTAACCCCCTCTGCTCCTGTTCTCACAACCAGCGCGAATGGCAGGAACTAGGCAATGTGCTCTAGTAGTACCTCGCAGTTGGCCGGTTTACACCCGCTCGACATGCTACTATCCAAGTCATTTCCTCTATTCGAAACCGGCAGATGACATGGACCCTGCACATCGCCATCTGGACTAATGCGACGCTTGGACGGAGGATCCGATCGACCTTTAAATCCTGACTGATACCACGGCACATAGGAACAGGCCACAGGCCCAATTTCCTCTTATCAGCCCGATCGCCATCACCCTTCGGCCTTATCGAACCCTTCTGCCTCGCTGATGCTTTGCTGATGCACCCATGCACTTCCGCCATCTTTCTTCCAGCTGAGCGTGAATGTCAGCGGGGAAATAAAATCCCGTCGCCTGTACATGTTATCGCCGATCGTCTGCCGGCAACCTGGCCTGCTTGACATTCTCCCTCTCCATCAAGATACGCTGGAATGGCGACCATTCTGCGGAGAGTGATCCTGGCGCTGCTGGTCGGGGGCACGGTCCAGCAACATGATCCTTTGACGGACTTTTGTCGACGGTTTGCACATCAGACTGCGGTGGTGGATCGAAGGTAGCCTATTCCAGCCTTGTTTCAGTGGTCTCCTGCTTACTCCGTACTGTATAGGCTGTATATTGATGGTGGATATGTGAACTATAATCCCTTGGCACAATATCCTGCCAATGAATCCAGTCAGTCCAGACCTCATACTCATGACTATCACTGACTCTTCAGATACTGGCCTACTCTACGCAGACCTCGACGTCGATAATATAGGCATGCCGCAGGAATACGACAATCTCACCAAGCCGGCCGATGTACCCGACGTCGATGGAGGCATTCTCTGGCCGGATACCGTCAACAAGCTACTATATCTCTACGGGGGCGAATTCACCAAAGGGTCCCCGCAACCCTTTACATCTTGGATGTATGACATTATCTACAATACGTGGAACAAAACCACCGCTGATCCTACACAATCATCCATCCAACGCGCGAGCTTTGGAGCGGGCATCGCCGTGCAAGATCGCGCACTCGGCTTTTACTACGGCGGCTGGCTGTCGAATAATTCGATACCCAACTGGGGTTCGAGACGGATGGCATTGTCCAGTTTCCTCACATACGACATGGTGCAGAATACATGGAGCAATTCATCAGGTCCGGACTCGGTCGGCCGCGCAGAAGGAGTGATGGTTTATATTCCCGCCAGTGACCGCGGCATGTTGGTATACTTTGGGGGAGTGCAGACGCCGGATCCGAATGGCACGGTGATTGCTCAATCGTTAGAGGTATATCCCTATCCCTACTGTCATTCTGATCTGACTCGATAGGATATTCTGCTATACGACATTGCCAATAGCAAGTGGTACACTCAGAAAGCCACGGGGCAGATTCCACAGGATCGGAGACGATTCTGTGCCGGCGTGACATGGGCAGAAGACAACTCGTCGTACAATATCTATCTGTATGGAGGGCTTGCTATTCCGGAAGGGGTTGGTTACGATGATATTTACATCTTATCGATTCCATCGTTCACCTGGATCAAATGGTATTGAACTGCCATCACCGCGGATTTCATTGCTGATCAATTTAGGTATCCTACCACGGCGGACCCCGGCTTCCCTCATCATTCCATGACCTGCAATGTCATCGATGGAGCTCAGATGATGTACGTCCAACCCCACTATCTTAACGTCACTGACCACGGATAGTGTCATGGGCGGCACATTCCCCAACAGCACCGCCTGCGACGTGCCCCAAAACTACGGCATGCACAACATGGATCTGGGCAAGCAAAACCCCGAACAGAAGAAATGGATCCGATTCCGACCCAACATCACCACCTACGAGGTTCCATCAGAGATCATCTCCGTCATCGGAGGATCGTACGTCCCCCTCCTTCCCCCTGATTGACAACTGCAGATCGCTAATCCCACCAGCGCAACCGGCGGCGCGACCCTCCAAACACCCACCAACGGCTTCGACAACGCCGATCTACAGACCTACTTCCAGCGCGTCTACACCCCGCAGACCCGACTACCCAACCGTGCGATCCCCACCCAATCCAGCACCAACACCACAACATCCGCTACCCACTCCACCCCCGTCGGCGCCATCGTCGGGGGCGTCATCGGCGGAATCACCGGCCTCCTGCTCCTCTCCGGACTCCTCCTCTGGTATCTCCGCCAGCGCAATCACCAAAACCAGCCACCTACCCCCGTCGAAACCCAACCAACCGAGACCAAATCGCCCGAATCAACCAACGGATCCGAACAACCCGCCTGGACGGGAACCGGTCGCACGAGTATGGCGCCGACCGAGTTGCCGGATTCGACGAGTGTCTCGACGCAGCAGCGCTGGACGGGACAGAGTGGGGGGAGTATGTCGCCCACCGAGTTGCCCGAGTTAAGTGGTGTCGGGTTGCGGGAATTGGGGGGTGGGGTTGGGGTTGGGTCGACGGTGACGGAGTTGCCGTAGCCTGTCGACGAGGGATATTGTTTTGTATGTGTACGGTTCTAATGATTTTCTTTCTGGGGTGTTTATGTGTTAAGATATCTTTTTCTGGACAGGATGAACGAGACAGATGTTTACATGGGTTTTATATGAATGGTCATCGTTATAATGAATGGTAATTCGAAAGCGATCATTATCAGGTATCTTAGCAGGATGATGAACCTACTGCAATAAAATGATACTCAGATCAAGCCATATACCCTGACCCCACTAGCCCATTCATCCATAGAAACATCCCGAAGTAAAGAGATTAATTCCAACCAACACAGGGACAGTACTAACCGTTACTCTACGGAACACCAGATAGACCAGAATGGCTACGCCAGTGCAAACCAGTCAAACAGCGGGTGGAATCGGTGGATTGTAAGATATATTAAGTGGTTGAATACATTCTCCCCAGAAGGATCGTACAATCCGCAGTGTTGCTTGCTGGTTATTCATCTGGCTGAGTTGATACCTGTTTCTTAAGATGGTATCCTTTGTTTACTGGAAAGTGGGGGAACTAACTATCAACTCCGCTGGTAGGTGGAAAGGAGGCTGAACTTTTAATAGATCTCCGGATCCTGCCCAACTCTGAGACGTAGTCGAACATGGATCAACCGCTAAAAAGCGCTAAGGATGGAGTGGGGGGGAGGCCGAGCTGTCATTGGTGTGTGCGTACGAATGAGCCAATCGGAGCCACTGCGGGCTTAGGAGCCGCCCCGTCTCGTATAGATCTTGCAAGGTAGACACATCAGGCAGACAGATAGGGATCATTTATATCCTACATCCCCTCATCATCATCGTTCTCTATCATATCAATTCTCCTCATCGTCACAATGGCACAATGCAAAGGTACATACCACCACCCCAATGGCACCCCAACCTCAACCCAAACACTAACTAAGCAATCAGCCCTAACCACCCCCAACACCATGTGGGACTTTTGTCCCTCCCTCGCCGCCGCCTACCTCTTCACCATCCTCTTCGCCCTCACCACTCTCCTCCACACGCTGCAAGCCATCCTCCACCGCAAACCCTACTGCTGGGTGATTGTCATGTCCGGCCTCATCCAAACCGTCACCTACATCTTCCGCGTCCTCAGCATCCTCAACCCCGCCAGCTACACCGACTACGCCGCCTGGTTCGTGCTCATCCTGATCGCGCCCCTCTGGACCAACGCCTTCGTGTACATGGTCATGGGTCGCATGGTGTGGAATTTCACCGATGATGCGCGGGTGCTCCGCATGCGGCCGTGGCATTTCGGGTTGGCGTTTGTGGTGTTGGATGTGATGTAGGGCCCCCATCCCCTCCTCCCATCATCCCCTCCTCATTACTATGGGTATTAATGAGAGTTAGAGCTTTTATTATTCAAGTCTACGGCGCCGCCCAAGCCGCCGGAAACAACATCGCGTATAGTGTCGAAATGACGGGTCTGCATATCTACATGGGTGGGGTGGGCGTGCAACAGCTCTTCGTGTTGGTGTTTATTTTCTGTGCCATTGTGCTCCACCAGAAGATCCGGCAGCAGCGGAGACCCGATCAACGCGATGCGTTGGTACTCCTGTATGTGCTGTATGGGTGTTTGGCGTTGATCACTGTATGTTCCCCCCTACCCCTCCACCCCGTTCTTCTACTTGTGTTTTTTTGGGGTTGGTTTGGGAAGTGATAGGTGTGGAGACTGATATGCACAGATGCGAATCATCTTCCGACTGTGTGAGTATGCACAGGGCTTGGATAGCTCGATACCCCAGCATGAAGCGTATCAGTATTGTTTGGATTCGGTGCCGATGTTGTTGGCGTTGGTGGGGTTGAATGTTGTGCATCCGGGACGGTTGATGCCGGGGAAGGAGAGTGATTTGCCGGGGCGGAAGGAGAGAAAGCGGATGGGGGGAGATACCAAGGCGAGTGTGTTGGGGAGGGGGAATGATCTGGTATGTTTACTTTATTCCTTGTGTTGTTGCACTCGAGTGGAGAGTGGTGGGCTTGCCGATGGCTAATGCTAATGGGTATAGGTCATGGAGGGGTGATGGTGGGTTCGGTTAAGGTTATATAGCGACTTTATATTAAGTATTAGAATAGATCATGATTATATTGGGTATCGGTTTGCTTAGCATAGTGAGCATAGTAGATTTGTGGCAGATAGGTGTGTAATGGATATTTTTCAGACGAATTCATGATAGGAAGAAGATTATGATATTGAACATAAGCCAGGTATTATGTGGGTAATGGGTATACTGTCAGGTTTAAAAATGAAGACGTGCTGTCTGTACTAACTCAAAGTAACTAGTTAACTAACTAGTTAACTAACTAGCAGTGGATGCTGACAAATGCCCCACGCACCTGAGATCTCCAGCCGATTATCACTCTTCAACTCAACCATGCCACGAGTCGCGGAACAAGACCGCAAGCGAGTGTATCGTCCCAAGACGCGCACTGGCTGCCTGACCTGCAAGTATGGTTCCTACACTTTGATTTGATTCTGCTGACCCGATCAGGAGTGAGAGGTTCTTTGGTTCGTGACTCGAACTTGCTGACAACGACAGAACGACGCATCAAGTGTGGTGAAGAGCAGCCAGCCTGTCTGCGATGTACATCGACTGGTCGCCAGTGTGAGGGATATAGAGATCCCGCTGCGCCCTCACCCTGCCTACCGGCACGATCGAACGGATCTCCAAGACCGCTCATCCCGCGGCCACTCAACCCATTCCACCCGTTTGCCTGTGACCAAGAGCACCGTTCATTCCAATTCTTCCTCGAAAGGACTGTCCCACAGTTGGCGGGCGACTTCGAATGCGCCTTTTGGGGACGCCTCCTGCTGCAGTCTGTGCACCACGAACCAGTCATCCGCCATGCCACCGTTGCCCTGGGCTCACTGCACGAGCGCTTCGAGAGTGATGCAGCCCCTTTCCGCTCGGTCCATGGCTCCTTTGCTCTCCGCCAGTACCTGCGTGCCATGCGCTGTCTGATGGCAACCCCACCATCCCAACCCATGGACGTATGCTTGATCTCGTGTATCCTGTTTGGTTGTTTCGAGGTGCGTGCATAGATCCCCTGTATGAGCTCTGCATACTAGCGAAGCAGGCGATGCGCGACCACTACGGCCCCGCCATCACGCACATCACCAGCGGACTGAAGATCCTCAGCGAGCTCCGAACCCACCCGTCTAGCTGCACGGCTCTATCCGTCGGCCGCACCCCATACATCCCGATGGACATCTTATGCGGGCTGTTCACACGCCTCCAAGGCCAGATCATCGTCACCGTCCATCGCATCGGTGCCGCACGGTGCAATCTCTGGCCCGAGCTAGTCATTGACCTGGATCGACCCATCGTGTTCCACTCGCTCGCTGAAGCACGCGAGACCCTCGAGATCTACACATACTACTACCGACAGCGCCACACGGAGCTCCTATACCAAAGCACCCCCACAGAGCCCCCTCCCACCGAAACCACCCCGGCGATTGACCCCGCCATCATCCTGCGCGACACCGCCCTGATCCTCCTCGCCCGGTGGTCCACCGCCCTGGACACCTTCCTCCACGAGCGCACCACCACCCTCACCCCCCGCGAACGCCGCGCCGCCGCCGTCCTCCAACTCCGCAAGATCGACTGCGTCGTGGCGCTCGATATCCTCCAAGCGGCTGGGGAAGCGGCAGCCGGGCACCGCGTGCAATGGGACAAGTACTGTCCGTTTTTCGAACAGATGGTTGTCCTCGGCGAGTCAATTATCACCTCTGCCCCTATGCCACCGAAAAAGACCTTTTCACTGGACCTCAGTATCATCGCAGCGATCTTCAACGTCGCGGTGCGATGTCGCGATCCGCTAATCCGCCGACGTGCCGTGGGTGTCCTCCGCGCGTCTGCCATCCAGGAGGGCGTATGGAATAGTGTAGTGGTGGCAGCGATTGCAGAGAAATGGATCGAGATTGAAGAGGAGGGTTTAGGGGTGGTGAGGTGCTGTGCGGATGTACCGGAGGCAGCGCGGTTAGCAGATTTTCTGCCCGTGTTTGATGTCGAGCAGCCCAGTGCGATGGTGTATTTCAGTCATGCGTCGCCGATGGATTGGGGGAGGGCGCGGCGGGAGGTTTTTACCTGGTGACCTGCTTCTATATAACAAAGAGGGCAAACGTATCTTCTAGGGGAGTATGTTACTGGTGGCCACTTGGTGTATTTCTTATGCTTTGTTTCTACTTGTTATACTGGTAAATCACATCCCAGGACCTGCTTCCCCCCAACTATTTATGCGTGATCATATCATGTCCTGATCGGGAGTAGATTCAAGACTGCATATCCCTTATTCCTTCACGACGCGCTAATAACAAATAATATCAGTAGACAAGGAGAATAGATAATCTTTCAATAACCAGGAAGCTAGCCTGTGCTAAATTCGGTCTAGCTCACCATTCGGGAATTGATCGGTCGAGACCAAAAGTGTCCGGTCCACGGAGTACTCCCGCGTGGCCAATAGGCGCTCATCGTGTCCATATATCAGTACTAGTCAGTAGTCTCATCCATCCTCTTTCGTAGAAGATCAAAGTCCATTCAGTCATGATTATTCGATTTTCTGATGATACATCTATCTCTGGCTCATCTCTTCTCAATCATCACGATCCATTGTTTTCGTTACCATTCACGAAGCAAGTCAGATCAACTTGAAGAGTCCCTTGACTGTTCCATCCCGACGATAGCAACCAGAACATTTCTCCGAGCCGTCTTGACCAGATCGACATCCATCCACTCAGAACCAAAGAGCAGAAATCTGCATCTGATAGAAACGTTCTCTTTCCTTATGTGGTAAATATATTAACCAATCATATCTCTCCACGATGTCCAAGGCCATCTGTCCAAAGTTCCTTCACTCTCGTCAGGTGGGTCGCAAGCTAAGGCGGCGCCAATGACTCCGATCTACTCCGTACTCCGTACTTCTCCACCGACGCCCAAGCCGAGATCTGCAGAAACGATAGTAACTCATCGACGATCCCGATTTGCGCCTTTTACATCGGGCCTTTCCATACTCCGTAAAGCCGGAGGATATGAGGTCCCACAAATACCGAGTGGGAGTGTACGGAGTCTTCATCGGCCTTTCACAGCAGTGCATGCCTTTTTGCAGCCCCGCCCCGTGCAACTGGTCCGTTGGACCAAGAAACTATGGACACGATGACAGCTTTTTCACCCAGAACCATTCCTGTTGACATGAAGGCAGTAACAGCTTGACAAAGACGACATCTCGAAACCCAACTCATACCAGAACATTTCCATCAGTAGTGACGATCGAGAACCGGCCCCAACCACATAAGACTCCAGCACTGCCACAGAAGAGCGACAACCAGGCAACCAGCAAGAGCCATCAGTCTTCCAGTACTATTGGCCAGTACACCTTCTTGTTCAGGCGAAGCGGCAGTACACCCAAATCCTAATGTTTGGCCCAAGCGGAAGCCAGACCATCGCGTTAGCTTGGCAGACGAATTTTACGGGCGATCCGATGGGCTTGGAACACAGACGGCGCTCTGGGAGCTGCAAGCCGCTCATGCTTCTGGGAGTCGAGTCCGAAAATCCAACCTACGTCTTTGGAGTCAGAGGACCGAGCGTACTTGTGGGAAGAAATTGACGGGAGTATCTATCGTGTTGAGAACCCTGTCCAGCCGGAGCAGGTGGTGGACTTTATCAAGCGGTATGGTGTGCAGGGTCTGGCGCTTGCTGCGATATGATGAATCTTGGTATATAGAGGATCTTTTGAATGTAGCAAGTAATTTGGTCTTCGCCTCGTTGATCAGGTGACACGTCCTTTTCTTAACAATGTTGCCCAGTGACCTGCCAACTATTCCAAGTATGCGTGTATATATCTCCTAGGAACGGTCTAACACTGTCACATACTAAGTACCCGTCCGAGGTGAAGAAAGGTGACAATAATCAGACATGACAAGTACATCTCAGACTAATACAGCTCGTTGAATAACTAATCATGTTAGAATAACAGTCCCATCCGAGCAATTCCAGTAAAACCAAGTCGAGTTTCTACCGAACGTTTATATGCAGAACCCTCCCTTGTCTATGCCGCACCTATAACTTCCCGATACTACTTACAGATAGGTATATCACCTCACCACCGCCACCCGCATCATATCCAACCGATTCCTCGCCGCCGTGGAATGATCATACACCCCCCCATTAAACACCTCCGTGACATCCTTCCCCAGATACAACCTCAACAATTTCTCCCCCCCCGGATGTTCCACCACAAACCCCGATACATCATGCACCACGCCATCCACCACCACCCACTCCTTCCCCCCCTCC